AGTTTCCCTCACACGCTGGGCTCTCAGTGGGCTCTCAGTGGGGCAGGCAAAGTGGTGCAGTGGGTTAAGCCATTGCACGCACTTCCTGCATCCTGTATCTGAGTGCTGGTTCGAATCCGGGCTGCTCTGCTCCAGATCCAGCTCCCTGCTAACGGCGTGGGAAGGCAGTGGAAGATGGCCTGAGTGCTTGGGCCCCTGCACCCACAAGGGAGACCTGGAGGAAGCTCCAGGCTCCTGTCTTCAGCCTGGACAGATCAGGGCCATTGCATCCATTAGGGGAGTGACCCAGTGGATAGAAGATATCTCTTTCTCTCTCTCTCTCCCCCTTTCTCCACCACTCTGCCTTTTAAATAAATAAATGAATATTTTAAAAGCAAAAAATAAGTAAATAACCCCTGGTGCTTACCTCCCATGCCCTGTGGGGCCTCACTGGCCCTAACCCACAAAGGTGCAGGCAGGCAAGTGAGGGAGTGACAGGGAAGCAACACACAGGTGAACACACAGAGCGACCCCCAGAATGACCCGTCAGGCGGAGGCAGTCGTGCCGCCCAGACGCCGAGTCACGTGGCAGAGGCCAGATTGAAATACGGCTCTATTTCCAGAGTGCAGCCGGCCCCGCCCGGGACTGTGCTGACCGCAAGCTTAATTAAACTTGACATACAATCATGCCTAACTTAAGCACAAAACCTAGGTCCTGGGCGGCTCACGTGTGGGCGCTGCGGTACATCACACACCTGCCGCGGGAGACCCAAGCATCGGGTCACCTCCACGGAGTGCAAGACACACGGCCATGACCCGTGCTCCTGACCAGCAGGGGGCAAGTGGCTTTTCCTCTAAGTGACCACCTGAAGCCCAGAGCCAGCCTCAGCGATGGCGTCGGGGCACTGGGGGGTCACAAAGGCGGAGTATGCCAGGAGGGGCCCACAGACCCGTGCGTCAGCAAGAACGCAGAGCCCGGGGCTGGCAGGCACCTGCCCAAGGATGCTCTTGAGCTTTCGTCCCAGGGCAGGGAGACCCTCAGAGCCCGAGCGAAATCAGTGCTTGCCAGGCCTCTGGGCTGGACTCCGAGGGGCAGCACTGGCCATGTATGTGCGCTCACACGCCTGTACATGTATACACATATACACATATGTGTACATGTGGCTGTGCTCCCCAGAACCAATCCTCGCACACACACACTGCCCTTCTGCTCCACAGCAGGACAGGGTGTAATCGGGGGCTGCTCAAGAGGCCCCTTCCTCCTCGGGGTGGGGGGCTGGGCCCCCCATCTCTATCTTCCTGCCCCCACTCTTTCACTAGCTCCTCCAGGGATGGTGACTTGGTTCACCCAGTAGACGGCGCAGCCCTCCTGCGTGCTACTCAGGTGTCCAAGTCCGGAGCAAGAGAGGGAGGGAGGGGAGAGGCGGCAGGAGTGGCAAGCAGCAGCGCATCCACGGCAGGGTCTCCACTGCACGTGCACACAGCCCGCACGCCGGCTTGCGTGTGCGACAGCCTACAGGAAGTGAGGTGCCCCCAAGTCCACCCAGGGCGGGGCAAGGCTCTCTCTGGCCATCCCGACTTCCGGTCTAACACAGCACACTCGAACCTGCAGCAGAGGCCCCTGGAACGTCCACGGTCGCCTTGCCCACTCCCTCTGCGCGCCAAGGGCCACCCCCCACAACCTGCACATCCCCTCTAAGCTCCTGGCCTCCCTGCTGCTCTCCTCCCCACTGTCTCCAGCAAGGCCTGTCCCCTCCCTCTGAGCCCCACTGACCAGCTCACCTGACCACAGTCAGGGCTGTCTCCCCCTTGCCCCCCCAACAGCCCACACCCTTCCCATCGTGTGGTTGCCGGGCGGGGGCGCACACCCCCATGAGACTACACGGCCAGGCCGCCACCGCCCAGAGCTCTGCACCTGCCTGCAGGACCTGGACCCCGCCAGCAGGGTCGCACCCACCCTTGCTTTCCCTGCCTTTCTCTCCATAGGACGAGCACCTGCTCTGTGCCACTGCAGGGCCCAGCCCCCTCCTCCCCAGAGTTTCCCACCCAGCAGTCCGGCCTTTGTAGCCTGATGGTCTTCCCAGGTGCAGCTGCTGTGGGGAGCAATGCAGGGCGGCCCGAGGCAGGACTTGGGCCAGAGAAGAGGGAGCATTAGGGAGAGGGCCTACTCCGGGCAGAGGAAACCCACACACAAAGGCCTGGCAGCTCCAGGAAGAACTGGAGTGAAAGGTGCCTGGAGGCGTGGCAAGGAGGCTGGAAGGGCGTATGGGGCCAGGCGGCAAAGGGGCCAGCAGGCGGCCACACCCCTTCCCTCAGGCTCACCAAACAGTTCCTTTGTGCCCGGTGCCTGTGGCGCCTCTGCCATGCTCCGTGGGCTGCAGACCAAGCCTGTGCCTCCCCCTCTGCAGCTTCCCCGGGGCCTGGCATTCACAGGCGGCCATGGTGGCTGCCGGAGACTCTGACCGCCCTCCCCGGGGCAGCTCCCTGGCGCTGATGGAGCCAGCCCGGAGGTGCCAGGGAGGTGTGCCAGGTGAGCCGGCGTGCGCGGCGTGGGCGTGGGCTTGAGGCCCGGCAGCTCACCGCCACGCACTCGCTCTATCGGCCCGGGGGATCTGTGGCTGGGCGTGTGTTGCTGCTCGAGCCAGAGCAGTTACTATGGGTAGATAATAATAGCAGTCGTAATCCTTCATAATTGGACCAGACTTTGCTGTCTGCAGGGTACTTCCATGCCCATGACCTCATCTGACTTCCACAACCGCCCCGTAAAACAGGCAGGGCTAGAGTTTCTATCCCCAGTTTCCAGCTGAGCAAACACAAGCCCAGATGGCCTGAAGTCACATCTCCAGTGAGTGGCATCCTCTGGCCTGGGACCTGAGCCTTCTGACTCCTCGGCCAGCTCCCCATCCCCATCCTGAACCCCTCGATATTGTGGGCCTGGCTTGTCCATGGGAGGGGGCCAGGAGTGACACAAGGCGGTGGAGCCAGCTACCTGCCACCATCCCCCCCACCCAGCAAGCGCCTGGCTCTAGAGCTGTCTGCACATCCGGCCTGGGCAGGGGGAGGCTCCGGGTCACTTAATTCAGCTGGCGCCATGGCTCACGTGGTTAATCCTCCACCTGTGGTGCCGGCATCCCATATGGGCGCTGGGTTCTAGTCCCGTTTGCTCCTCTTCCAGTCCAGTTCTCTGCTGTGGCCCGGGAGGGCAGTGGAGGATGGCCCAGGTCCTTGGGCCCTGCACCCGCTTGGGAGACCAGGAGAAGCACCTGGCTCCTGGCTTCAGATCAGCGCAGTGCCGGCCGTAGCGGCCATTTAGGGGGTGAACCAACGGAAGGAAGACCTGTCTCTGTCTCTCTCTCACTGCCTGTCAACCTGTCTACCTGCCAAATAAAAAAAAAATTCCTTAAAAAAAAATTCAACAGAGGAACAGAGCCAGGCCCAACCAGAGCAGGGAACCAGCACCAGCCATGGCGACCACAATGGGCACAGGTGGCTGTGGGCCGCCCGGCTCCATGGCTGCAGGCTGGACAGGCAAGTCGCTGGACACGAGGGTGTGTGTGTGTGTCTGTGTGTGTCCCTGGGCTCTGTGGGCACGAGGGTGTGTGTGTGTGTGTGTGTCCCTAGGCTCTGTGGGCATGAGGGTGTGTGTATGTGTGTGTGTGTCCCTGCGCTCTGTGGGCATGAGGGTGTGTGTGTCCCTGGGCTCTCTGGGCATGAAGGTGTGTGTGTGTGTCCCTGGGCTCTGTGGGCACGAGGGTGTGTGTGTGTGTATGTCTGTGTCCCTGGGCTCTGTGGGCATGAGGGTGTGTGTGTGTATCCCTGGGCTCTGTGGGCACGGATATGTGTGTGTGTGTATGTCCCTGGGCTCTGTGGGCATGAGGGTGTGTGTGTGTGTGTGTGTGTGTGTCCCTGGGCTCTGTGGGCACGAGGGTGTGTGTGTGTGTGTCCCTGGGCTCTGTGGGCATGAGGGTGTGTGTGTGTGTGTGTGTGTGTGTGTGTCCCTGGGCTCTGTGGGCACGAGGGTGTGTGTGTGTGTGTGTGTGTGTGTCCCTGTGCTCTGTGGGCACGAGGTGTATGTGTGTGTGTGTGTGTGTGTGTGTGCGCGTGCACAGGACCCATAGCCAGCATGCAGAAGAGGCTCCCGTCTAGACCCACTGCCGACAGGCTGGGCTCAGCGCCCTCAGCTGTAGAGCTGGGCCACTGTACTTGCCCTTTTTGTCTCCAAAGACAAGTGGAACAACAGGAGGGAACCCCTCAGAAAACAGAAACACCTCTGAGGATGGGCGGGGAGGGGCAGGAAGGGACTGAGCACGTATGAGCAGGTCTCAGAGCTCCGCCGGCCTCCTGCAGGCAGTACCGGGCCCCAGAGAGCGCAGGAGCCCCACAGCTGCTGCCAACCCCGCATTCCACAAACAAAACTGCTGCAGCCGTGAGCGGCCCCTCTGCGGCTCCCAGACCCCAGCAGGCGTCACCAGCCCCTACCACGCCAGGCAGAGGAAGGAGCTATGGGGGCGCGGGCACAGCAGCCCCAAGAGCCGGGGACCCACAGGCACCGTCGTGCGGGCAGGGGTGCCGAGTCACAGTGCTGAGGGCTCCGGGGAACCTGTCCTGTGGATGCACCAGGCCCCGCAAGGTCCCGAGGCAGCCTGTAGCGCCCAGGGGGGCTTCCCACCCGTGTGGCGTGAGCCCCTCTAACTGGTGTAGGCCCAGCTTGCTTCTTGGCATTAGGGTGGAGGGCTCACAACTCTGAAAACAGCTCCCAGGCCAGAAGCCACCACCTCTCCGGCACACCCCCACCGTCACCCCATGAGTGGCAGGGTGGGCTTCGCGCCACCTCCTGTGGAAGCCAGGGATGGGTGGCCACACCACCACCCAGGGCTCAACCTCCTGCTCCACCTCCAGCGTGGAACCGTTCCCGGCCTCAGTGTCCCCATCACCACCACCGGGACGCCACCCTGCTGCGCGGGGTGCTCGGAGCTCAGCACACCCCAGCTGTCCCCCGACCCGCGGAGCCCGCCGCTCACCTTTCGGTCCTCGTCCCGCTCCGGAGCGGAGCTGCTGGTGTCCCCGGGGCCGCTGGAGGGCATGGCGGGCAGCTGGGTGGCAGGAGGCAGGCCGGGGGCGCGCGGGGCTGGGGGGCTGTCGGGCTTCGAGGAAGGAGTTATCGTGGTCTCGGCGGGCGGGGGTTAAAGTGTGAACATAGGTCCCGGCCTTGGGCCCGCTGGCGAACGCTGCCTCGGTGCTGGTGGGTTCTGGCTTCGGAAGGCTCCACCTGCGGGAGATGGGAGGCGGGTGAGCAGGGCAGGGCGCCCACCCCCGCCCCCACCCGTCCCCAGCCCAGGGCCACGCCTGGCTTGTGAGGCCTCGGGCCTCTGGCCTCACCCCATCTCCCGGCCTCACCAGTGCCCCAGAGACTGGGGAAGCCGAGGCAGGCTCTGGCGGCGTGGCACGGCCAGGCTCCCTCAGGGCCCCCACAGAGCCCCGCTGCCGCGTTGCCGCGCTGGGCGCCTCCTCCCTTCTCGCCCCCGCCGCCGCCGTCGCCGCCGCCGTGTGCGTCTGTGCTTCCCGCACCCTCCCTCCCACCCCAGCCAGCCCCTGGGAAATCCCAGCCTCCCCCAGAGGCCCCCGGCCCCCGGCTACATTTTCCTTCCAGTCTGTCCTCACCCGACCCCCACCCCCACACCGCGGGCGCCACGTGGAGGAAGTGAGCGGCGGTCACAGGATGTAGTGAAATGAGTGTCACCTCACTTCAGGACCAGCGCCGGGGCCCACACAGCGCTGAGATCTGAGCTCAGGCCGCAGCCAGGCTCACGGCCCCGGTCCGGGGCTCAGCTCTCTAGGGGACGCCCTGGAGGGGAGAGGCCACGGGCTCCGCCACGGCCACGCCGAGCCAGAGCTGGTGGGCTTCGGTGGACCCTCCGAACCCAGGGGGCTCTGCAACCTCCCTAGGTCAGGTGTGGGCCTGAAGCCAGCCCAGTAACAAAGCCAGGGCCACGGGCCACAGCTGGGCGCCCAGGATGAGGGGGGTGAGGGTGGGGAGGGGGTGCTGGTGCCTCAGCCCCCCTGCACTAACGGCGCAGAGCTCCCCAGCCCCCCAGCCCCAGGGAGAGCGCCAGGCCTGCCCGGGAGGGGCTTGGCAGCCAGGGGAAAGTGGGAGGCCAGCTGGATCAGGGCCACCCACACCCTTCCCCTTGCAGTTCCCCTGCTGCTCCCCCGGGCTCCCCTCCCTCCTGGGCTTCTCCTCCCATCCCCCTCCAGCCAGAGCTCCCTGGAAAACCAGGAACCGGAGGCGGCACAGGCACAAGCTTGGCTCTCCCGGGGGGGGGGAGAGGGGGGGCAGTCCCTGCAGGGGGTGGGTACCCAAATCCCAGCCTTGCCCTGGGAGAAGTGGGAGAAGGCTGGAGCTGGGAGGGGCCTTGTGGGGGCCAGGACAGGAAGGGCCCAGACAGGGCGAGGGCCCCCTGCCCCCTCCACCCCAGCTCAGCCGCAGGAAGTCCAGGTATACCGCACCTCATTTCCCCACACTCAGGCCTTGCTCCCAGAGGGCACCGTGGGAGGAGTCCCCGGCAGACACCGGGCAGAGCTCCCACGGCACCAATCCTAGCTCCCGGCTGCACCTGAGGCCCCGGCCGGTTAGGACTTGAACCCAGGTTTCTCTGATTCTACAGCTCTGGGGTTGGGCTCTCGGGAAGCTACTCACACCCAACTCGTACGGCAACAGGGCCCGGGAGCCAGCAGCACCCCGGCAGCCAGCGATGCCCTCGGTACTCCCCACCCCCAACAAAGCCTTCGGAAGATACAGAGGCTGAGAGAGGCAGAGAGGCGGGGGAAGGACACGGACCCCCGTCACACGCCCAGGTCTCCCTGGCCTCAGTTCCCATCCGTCAGATGGGAGTGGTGGACCTGCCCAGCTGTTGGAAACCCACGGGCAATGAGGCCGGAGGTGTGGCCGGACAAGGCTGGGGCCCCAGAATGGAGAATGCGAGACCCAGGCACGAAGGAAGGAAGCAGAGTTTGTCTCAACGCTGCCCGGGAGACAGGCAGACGGCACCTGTGCCCCCAGCAGCACTGCCCGTCGGGAGAAGCCGGGACCTCCGCGGGGACAGCAGGACATCACGGGCACTGACCCTGGAGGCAGGCCCCGGAAAGGAACGGAAAGAGACGCTTCCTCATTCGCTTCTGCGCCACTCGAGAGCCTGACGTCTGAGCGGCAGAAACCGCCCTCACATTAACACAGCTGACCTGAGCCGCCCCCCCGGTCCCCTGTGCTGCCCCATGGACCACCCCAGGCAGCAGGCGGGCCTCAAGCCCACCGGCGTCATCTAGAACCATCCAGCATGGCAGGCCACGTACTGCAGCACCCTGGGGGCCCCCTTCATGTCCAAGGTCCCCGGGCTCAGCACAGCACAATCCCCACCCCACCCCACCCCCGCCTGGACAAGCTGCCTCCTCTCAGGCGGCCTGGGCGCCGGGCGTGGGCTGCTCCCGGGCCCTAGGTCCCCACACGGCAGCCAGCATCCATTACGCAGCACCGCCCTGCTACTCCAGCTGTCCCCAGAACCCAATTGCCACCAAACACCTCTGCCAGGATCCCTGCCTCCACGACCACCGTGCCCACGGTGACCATGAATAACGTGGCTCACAGCAACAGGGACGTCTCTTAGGGAATCCGAGTGTGTGGGTGTCGCTACTACTACATGGACCACCAAGCTATTACGGAAAGGGATTGGGCTGTCTGAATACACACCAGGTTCCACTGCCTTCCACACGCAACCCTGAACAGATGTATTCCGCACTTTTTTTACTTACTGCTTTTTATTCTTCCAAAAGGCAGAGAAGCAGAGAGGCAGACACAGAGAGGTGGACAGAGAGAGCTCCCGTTCGCTGCTTCACTTCCCAAGTGCCCACCACAGCGGGCGTTGGGCCTGGTCCAAAGCCAGGAGCTGGAACCTCGATCCGGGTCCCCTGCGTGGGTGGCAGAGACCCAAGTCCCTGAGCCACCAGCATGGTCTCCTAGGATGCACATTACCAAGTTGCTGGAATAGGGAGCTAAGGCAGGACTCAAACCCAGGCACTCTGAGATGAGGTGCAGGCATTTAACAGCTATGCCAAATACCCACCCAGGATTTTTTTTTTTTAAGAAGATGTAAATTCACAAGACAAGAGATTCCACTATCCAGATCTGGAGAACTGCAAAGCAGCCCTGGGACCACCACATTTGAGGCAGGGGTATGAACACCTATTTGTAACAGAGTCCTGGACGTGACAGCGTCAGCTGCTCTGGGACTAGGGGTGAAGAGGGTGCAGGTGTGAAAATCAAGAGACGGAACGAAAGCAGCGAAATCCCCCGAGTCTGAAGGCTTATTCCTGTTCTCTGGAGGGCATAAACCAAGGACACTTTGCACACAGCCAAGTGGCACAGGGGAGAGTGGTGACGCATCAAAGCCAAGGGCACGAAGCTGACTCGCCCACTGTGAGTGCCTCGGGCTCTTCCGCAGCAGGGCCCAAGAATGCTGGCAGGGGCTGGCATCGTGGGCAGCGGGCTGAGTTTCTGCTTGGGACCCCTGTATCCCCCCATCAGTGCACCGGTTCGAGTCCCGGTTGCTCTGCTTCTGATCCAGCTTCCTGCTCATGTGCCTGGGAGGGCAGCAGATGATGGCTCAAGGACTTGGCCCCCTGGCATCCACATGGGAGGACCCGGATGGAGTTCCTGGCCCCTGACTTTGGCCTGGCTCAGCCAGGGGAGTGAACCAACTGGTGGGAATCTCTGTCTCTCTGTTGCTCTGCCTTTCAGGTAGATGGAAATTTATTTTTTTTAAGATGGCAGTCCAAGTAGACACACGGGAAGGCACCGTGTGTGACTCTGAACGCTGCTGTGTCCAGGGGAGGGAAGTGGGTCCGAGAGCACCGAGCCAGCGCAGCCTCAGACTGCTCAGCACCAGTCCTGCCAGCAGACCGCCGGGCACCCACACCTACACCAGTCCCGACCTGGAGTGCTCTTGGCCCAGCCACGCCGTCGTCAACTGGGGGAGTCAAGACACTTTCAGACGCACAAGGTCTCTCAGGCTCTGTCTCAGCGAGGTGTCCCCTGAGACCGGGACAGAGGAGCAGGGAGTCTCAGGAGGACAGTGGAAAGAGAACATGACGGCAGCCTGGTCCCCAGAGTGTCCGGTGCTGTTGTCGCCACGCCCTCTGCCACTGGACCCGACAGATCCGGGTATCACTCACCGCCACACTCCGCCATACAAACCCAAGAACTGATTGATGTCGGATATCGGTGGGCACTCGTCTTGGAGGATGACCCCAAGGTGGGAGTGACAGGGACACCAGTACTTGAGCCATCACCAGCTGCTTCCCAGGCTGTGCATGGGCGGGAGGCTGGATCAGAAGTGCAGCAGCTGGGACTTGCACCAGGTCCACCAGCACGGGACGTGGGCATCCCAGGAGGTGACCTAAGTCACTCTGCCAAGTGCCTGCCCCCACCTTTCACTTCTAAGGACCCTGGTGGTTCCACTGGACCCACCCAGCTCACCCAGGATAAATCTCCCATCCAGCCCAGGGTCCTCAGCGTAGTCACACCTGCAGGGTCCCTTTTGCCACGTAACCTCACACGTTCACAGGGTCAGGGGAGTAGGACTCCCTGCCTGGGAGCTCACCACTGCCTGCTGCAAGCACACGCATACGCACACTGACAGATGCACAGGACACCCCGGAAGAACCCTGCAAGTTTTGTTGATAGCGCCCCTGCCACAAAAACTACCAAGGAGGGTGGCTGGGGAGTCGAAAGGTTGGCCGTGGACGAGGCCTGCTAACTAGGAAACCAATGGAGGACTTCGGCACAGGGGCATCAGTGCAGCGTGGACGCACATCACTCAGAAACACGGACGTGAACTTGCCAGAAGAAACGGCGGAAGGAAGGAGGGTGGCTGCCTCTGAGACCGGGAAGAGAGGAGCAGTCAGGAACAAGGGTGTTTTGTGAGATTTCAGTCCCGTTTGACTTAAGTTATGTGCGTAGGCAACCGTGAGTAATAAGAATGAAGGAGACAGAATGTGGGTGGGACAGGCACGGTGGTGCTGCGGGTGAAGCCGCTGCCTGGGACATCTGCATTCTACACTGACGCCTCCGGGACCCAGGCCTGCCGCCTCCTCCGCTCTGACCCTGCTCCTCGCTGATTCACCTAAGAGGAGCAAGTGCTTGGGCCCCTGCCACTCTCGCGGGAGACCCAGGTGGGGCTCCTGCCTCTGACTTTGCCCTGGCTCAGCGCTGGCTCT